CACAAAGGGCTAGATAAGAGAAGGGATAAGATACTGAAGCATCTCTGTCCTAGATGGGGCTGTAGGGGTATACGAGAGTAGGAGAGGAGAAATCTTCTCATGATCACAATCCCAAGTGGGTAATAAGGTTTGAATTTACACTACCTGAATGTTGCTGAGAAATTAATATAAAAAATCTAGCACAAGCCTAGGGAAACCTCTGGAGCACTTCACAGAAGCGAATACAAAACTGCCACAGGGACACGCCAATCCAGTCTAAAATGAATTCTCAGAAAAACAAGCCCTGATAAAGTTGACTTCACAATCCAAAACTGCCCCCACTCAACATAACACACATAATAAGATCAGATAAAGACTACAAAATAATTACTTTTAAAGAAGAAAAAAACAGGAATATCTGAAAAAGAAGCAAATAAAACATTCAGACATTTTAAAATGTATCACTGAAATTAAAGACTTAGTCCAAGAGCAGATTCAGACCCAGTTGGCCCGGTGCAGTGGCTCACGCCTGTAATCCCAGCACTTTGGGAGGCTGAGGTGGGTGAATCGCCTGAGGTCAGGAGTTTGAGACCAGCCTGGCCGACATGGTGAAGCCCCGTCTCTACTAAAAATACAAAAAAGTAGACGGGCATAGTGGTGGGCCTCTGTAATCCCAGCTACTCAGGAGGCTGAGGCAGGAGAGTCACTTGAACCCAGGAGGCAGAGGTTGCAGTGAGCTGAGATCATGCCACTACACTCCAGCCTGGGCAACAAGAGCGGAACTCTGTCTCAAAAAAAAAAAAAAAAAAGAAATAAATAAAAGAAAAAGGTTTAGACCCAGTTAAAGAGAAATAGGCCAGACATAGTGGTTCATTCCTGTAATCCCAGTGCTTTAGGATGCCTGGGCAGGAGGATCAAGGCAATGTAGTGAGACCATGTCTGCACAAAAAAATAAAAAAATTAGCTGGGTGTGATGCTACATAGTCCCAGCTATTCAGGAGGCTGAAGTGGGAGAGTCACCTGAGCCCAGGAGGTTGAAGCTGCAGTGAGCTGTGACTGTGCCACTGCATTCCAGCCTGGGCAACAGAGTGAGACCCTGTTTAAAAAAAAAAAGAAAGAAAAAAAAATTACCTATCAAGAAATGATAATTAGGCTGACAGTAGACCCCAACAGCAATAGAAAATAATAAAAATGGCCAGGCGTCATGGCTCATGCCTGTATTCCCAGCACTCTGGGAGGCTGAGGCGAACATCTGAGGTCAGGAGTTTGAGACCCAGAATGGCCAACATGGTGAAACCCCGTCTCTACTAAAAAAAATAAAAAATTAGCTGGGTGTGGTGGTGCATGCCTGTAGTCCCAGCTACTCAAGAGGCTGAGGCAGGAGAATCCCTTGAACATGTGAGGCAGAGATCCCACCACTGCACTCCAGTCTGGGCGACAGAGACTCTGTCTCAAAAAAAAAAAGAGAAAACTAAAAACATTTTTTCTCCCAAATGCTAAAATAAAGTAACTATCTGGAATTCTACACCCAGTTATATTATTATTTAAGAGTAAGAATAGGGGTGGGGTGACAGATTTTGTCAGTAATACACCATCGAAATCTGAATCCAGAAAAGGAGTGGTGGGGGTTAAAAAAAAAAAAAAAAGAAAGCAGGATGAGCAAAGAAAATGGTATTCAGTAAATTGAGGCCAGGCGTGGTGGCTCATGCCTGTAATCCCAGCACTTTGGGAGGCTGAGGTGGGCGGATCATGAGGTCAGGAGATGGAGACCATCCTGGCTAACATGGTGAAACCCCACCTCTACTAAAAATACAAAAAAATTTAGTATTTTTACAGGTGGTGGGCACCTCTACTAAAAATACAAAAAAATTTAGTATTTTTACAGGTGGTGGGCACCTGTAGTCCCAGCTACTCGGGAGACTGAGGCAGGAGAATGGCGTGAACCCGGGAGGCAGAGCTTGCAGTGAGCTGAGACTGCGCCACTGCACTCCAGCCTGGGTGACAGAGCAAGACTTCGCCTCAAAAAAAAAAAGAAAATTGTATATTTAGCAAATTGAAATAAGCCTTGACTGTAAAACTGTAACAGCTAAACTATCTTTAAGGATATGAAAACAAGGTAGAAATGAAATATATTGATTAGTCATGTTCTTGGACAGAAATATTCATTTGTGGCTGGACGTGGTGGCTCATGCCTGTAATCCCAGCACTTTGGGAGGCTAAGGTAGGAGGATCACTCAAGCCCAGGAGTTCACAACCAGCCAGTGCAACATAGCAAGACCCTGTTGCTTTTTGTTTTGAAGTGTTTTTTTTTTTTTTAATTTAAAAGAAAAAAAAAACTAAATACATTTTTCTAAAGAAATACTCATTTGTCATAGAGATGGGAATTCTCTTTAGGTTGACTTACAACTCTAACATGATGCTGATAAAAATACCGTAAGGGTTGCTGTTTTTGGGGAGAACCCAGGCATGGTGGTGTACACCCGTAGTCCCAGCTATTTGGGAGGCTGAGGTGACAGCATCACCTGAGCTGAGACTGCAGTGAGCTGTGATCAAGCCATTGCACTTCAGCCTGGGCAATGAAGTGAGACCCTGTCTCAAAAATAAAATAAATAAAATGAAAATAAAATAAATTTTAAAAATAAAATAAGATGCTTACCCTTCTAATTGTTGTGAAGATTAAATGATTTATTCATGAAGTGCTTACAACATTCCCTGGCACATAACAAGTACTCAACTGAATTCCAGTTGTAGTTAGTTTCTCCTGTTATAACTGTCTGAGCCTGTTTCAGGGCTATTCTGATCCAGTCATCTGCTATCTATTCATATGTCAGAACCACTCATGGCGCCATTTTACAATGTGAAGTCTACAGGCAAGCTCCTAAAAACCACATTTCTTTCCTTCTTTCTTATCTTAGAGACAGGAGTCTTGCTCTGTTCCCCAGGCTGGAAGTAGGCAGTTGCATGATCATGGCTTACTGTGGCCTTGAACTCCTGCACAAGTGATCCTCCTGTCTTGGCCTCCCAAAGTGCTGGGATTACAAGTGCGAGCCACCAGGCTGAGCCCATAAAAAACATTTTTCTGGCCAGGCACGGTGGCTCACGCCTGTAATTCCAACACTTTGGGAGGCCGAGGCGGGCAGATCACCTGAGGTCTGGAGTTCGAGACCAGCCTGGCGAACATGGTGAAACTCCATCTCTAACAAAAATATAAAAATTAGCCAGGTGTGGTGGTAGGCACCTGTTATCCCAGCTCTACTTGAGAGGCTGAGGCAGGAGAACTGCTTCAACCCAGGAGGCAGAGGTTGCAGTGAGCCAAGATAGCACCACTGCACTCCAGCCTGGGCAACAAGAGTGAAATTCTGTCTCAGAAACAAACAAACAAACATTTTTCTTTGTTCTTTCCTGTTGATTTTGTCAGATAAACTTTAGAATAATTTTCAGATCCTCCATCTCCTACCTATTCATTTGAATTATATTACATTAATAAACTGAAAAGAAATCACATCTATATGTCTAATAGGTCATTCCATCTTAGAAAATGGAATGCTCTTATAATTATTTCAGGTTTTTAAATTATCTCATAGTTTTCTGCATATGTCTCATTACTTGTTAAAGGCATTTTAAAATATTTTATGTTTTTGTTAATAATGTGAGTGGTGGTATACTTTCCCTTAATTATATTTTCTGATTTTTGCTGGCATTATAAAACCATTGGTTTTTATACACTTGCTTTACAGCTAGTCAACAAGCTAAACTTTTAATTCTAAAAGTTGTTTCTTGGGTTTCCTGTTATAAAATAATAGCTTATATCTCCTATAATACAATGAAAAATTGTATACCAATTCTCAACAAAAGATATCAACGGGAAATTCTCAAAGGGGATTGTATTTTTTTAAGACAGAGTACAGTGGCACTCTCATAGATCACTGCAGCCTCGAACTGCTGAGCTTAAGGGGTACTTCCACCTTGGCTTCACGAGTAGCTGCGACTATAGGTGCATGCCATGCATACCTGGCTAATTTTTTTTTTAATGTAAAAAACATACGTGGGGTCTTGCTATGTTGCCTCAGCTGGTCTCAAACTCCTGGCCTCAAGCGATCTCCTGCCTCGGCCTCCCAAAGTGCTGTAATCTCAGCACTTTGGAAGACACCTCACCTGGCCTCAAAAGGGATTTTAAATGGCAAAACATGCAAAAAATATTTAATGTGTTTGGGAAATAACCCCTGACTCCTGGCCTCCCAATCTCCCATAGACCATTACACAGAGGCAGGTCCATGTTTTACTAAAGGAAGAGTGTCAGCAATAAACTGTTGAGTGAAAAGACCAAGCTATAGGACAGCATGCACAGAATGAGCCCATTTTGTTAAAAACTATATTTCACATACACAGCACATACTAAATATAGCATGGATATAGAAAAGTATCTGGGAGATTATCAAATTATTAACGGTGCTTGTCTGTGGGGAATACAAGTAGGAGCAAACTTTTACCTTCTATTTTGCTTGCTATCTACCCTCAAATAGATTACTAATTCTGAAGCATTGTTTTAAGCTAGTAAGATCTTTTTTCAGTTTCTTTTTAAACATAGCTAAATGCAGAGGACAGAAGTAGACAATTTTTGCACATCCACCTTGAACTTAATCATTACACAGAAAAATAGCTGGAAAACTATTATGTTTTGAACATATGTTGAATACATACGATTTTTACTGCAGACATGACACACAGCCCATAGTGCCCAGAGCTGAACCTCTGGTTGAGAGAAGTTGCCAAGGAGTGGGAAAAATGTCTTGAGAGATCTGAAACAAAAAAAAAGTACAAAGATGTTAATCCAGAACTCAGGCCAGTGTTCAGGGATATAATGATTTATACTATATAATTAATATAATAATATATATAATTTTCATGGCCGGGCACAGTGGCTCACGCCTGTAATCACAGCATTTTGGGAGGCCAAGGCAGGTGGATCACTTGAGCTCAGGAATTCAGGACCAGCCTGGGCAACAAACAAACAAACGAAAAAATTAGCTGGCCCTGGTGGTCCACGCCTGTGGTGCCAAGTGGGAGGATTCTCAAGTGGGAGGATCACTTGAGCCTGGGAAGTCAAGGCTGCATTGAGATGTGATCCTGCCACTGCATTCCAGCTCCAGCCTGGGCAACAGAGCAAGACCCTGCCTCAAAGGGTTGAAAAAAAAAGAATTTTCAACATTTTCCCCACAGGGTCAACTCCTCCCTGTGACCGAGCATACAATGAAGCTATTATTTTAAAAATTGCATTCTGTACTGGACACTTTATACGTTCAATATCTCACTGCATCCTCAATCTTACATGCTGTCAGCCTCATTTTACAGACAAAGAAAACTGACTTTCTAGAAATGACTTTCCCAATATCACAGAGAAATAGGATTTGAACATAAGGCTAACTGACTCTAACACGTCATCACTGTATCACTGAGTACAGCCTTTAAGAAAAGCACAACATCGGGCCAGGCATGGTGGCTTACACCTGTAATCCCAGCACTTTGGAAGGCCGAGGCGGGCAGATCATGAGGTCAGGAGACCGAGACCATCCTGGCTAACACAGTGAAATCCCATCTCTACTAAAAATACAAAAAATTAGCCAGGCGTGGTGGCAGATGCCTGTAGTCTCAGCTACTTGGGAGGCTGAGGCAGGAGAATGGCGTGAACCCGGGAGGCAGAGCTTCCAGTGAGCCAAGATCGCGCCACTGTACTCCAGCCTGATGAACAGAGAGAGACTCCGTCTCAAAAAAAAAAAAAAAAAAGAAAAAGAAAAGCACAACATCATGAAATTACCTATAGGTCACCAATGCTGTCATCTTACAACTTGAACTTGGCCAATTCTGGATGGCTGCATGCTACTCCAAAAACAAGAGAGAGAAACCAAGATTTGAATAATTCACCATTTACGACAAAATTTTTCAAAATCTGGGAATGACTGAACAAATTTAGATACACCTACTTGGCAAAATATCAATCACATAACGATTATATACACAGAGTATCTTAACAGTGTGGGAAAAACTATAAGAACAAGGGGCATCTGTTTAAAGATACTGGACTGAGCACACATTTATACCTCTACTCCCTCCATAATCCCATTAACAGAAAGTAAAACAAAGAATGACGCACATGGAAAAATGGTAACTGATTTAATACCTAGCACTTGGAAAGGTTAAAACACAAACCAGGCTGGACGCGGTGGCTCACGCCTGTAATCCCAGCACTTTGGGAGTAGAGGTCTCTACTAAAAAAAAAAAAAAAA